AAAGAATATTGTTTATTAAAGATTTAACGGAATGAAACTACGTTAATTCCGAAAAAACATGTTATAAAACGGTATGGGAAATCAAGCAAAATAAATGGGATGTGCATTAAGAGCTGTATTTACCTAGAGAAGGTAAACTTTGCTTTCTACGCTATAAGAAATTAAATTCTGATTTTTAATCATTCAGTAATACTTGAGCTGTACTTCCGTCCTTAACTCTTATATCATGATTTGAAAAACATCTACACTTTATAAAAGTTGGGGAAGGGTCACATTCGTTTGTCAGCTGATCTCTTGAAATTGATTGCTAAAACTAGCGTTTTACTCATTCAGTCATGGGTATTTTTTTTTATTTATTTAATCTTGTATTTCCTACCAATTAATCGAAATTAAGCTTTATGCTCTTGATGAAATTCGCATCCTCAAATAAATAAAGTAGATTCTCATTTTGACGAAATATTCGCTAGGAGCATTTTCCAGGCAATGGTTTCGTCAAAAACAAAGAAAAAGCTGCGAGTTCTCAACATCCATTTTTTTCTTCTTCCTCTTTTTAGTGTAAGTGCTCTTTGAACATCAAAATTTGTAATTGCGTATTCATTATTAGAACATTGCTCTAGATATCTTCAAAATTAAAAATACATAAATCCGTAATTAGGAAATGAGATTTTTAAGATAATCTGGTTACTGTTTTGGGGAAAATATGGAGCCAGAAAAAAAAATTTAAAAAAAAAAACTTTCTCTAACCTATCTCTCTGATTAAGAATTATTCTGTCACGCTGCAGGATTAAATTATTAAGTTAAAATTAACTCCGGGTTCCCTTTTTTTCATTCAGTTAATACCTCACGAAGATATCTTAGTCTCATAACTCACTCAAAAACAAGATTCATTCTGCTCAAAATTCCAAACCCCAGTCACGGTCGCGGATAATTTCGAAATCATTACTAATAATTGCCGCGCTTAATCGGCTGGCGAACCCTAAGATGGAGGGGGGAGAGGAAAATGAAAATCAAAGCGGACAGCCATAATGAGTGGACCAATCCTTCCAAATGGCCAGTAGAAGCCAAACGTGTTCTTCGAAAGCATATCTAAATCATGCTTAGTGATTGAAGCACGCACCAATCCCTAAATGTAGATATCTTTTCCTTTTTGCAAGATGCCGAAAAAAAAAATGCCTACTTATATCTTGTTACTGAACAAGCCGTCAACTTGACACGGAACATTATACCAGCACGCAAATTGACAGCATCGAGAATAAGTTATGGGTACGGTTACAAAAGGTCTCAGAATAGAATGCCCGCCCTATCCCCCGCACCATCATCCATCCTTTTCTTTCTTTTTTGTTTAGATCCGTAAGGCTGAAGAGTAACAGCATAATTAGTGCGGTGTACTTGACCAATGGGAATGCGTACCCAACTCAACCTCTAACGCCTTTTGACCTTTGAGTTGTCTGAACTTTTAGAGAAATTTTGCTATTAAGTTTTCGTTAGATTTGATTGAATTTCGTTAGATAAAGAAATTTGATAAATAATTTCATTTTGTTATGGAAGAGGACATTAAATTTATATTTAGTACTAACTGAAGTTTATATTTTAAGAAGAGACAAATTATTCATTTTAATAGACAATAAAAGGAAACATTTATTAATAAATATATATTTTTAATTACTTTATATTAGTGGGAAATATATTTCATATTCAATTTTAAAATACTTTTAATTTATTCATTAGATTGTTTATTTAATTTTTAAAATATTTTTCGAGAAAACTTGAAATTAAGGTTTTGTGAAATTGTTTGAGGAATATAAAATTAAATATTGTTCTAAGAATTATTCATTTAAATTATAGAGGTTAAAACTATCAATATTACTGAGGTTACAACTATTATAAAATTGTTTCCTGTTATACTATATTTCGGTTTCATTTATAGGAGTTATAAGAAATGCATAAAATACATTCTCATAAGTTTATAAATGTAAAAATTAAACTAATTTTCAAAAATTAATAACTTGTGTTATTAAAAAGTATTGGATTGCAAAAAATTCCAGATCAAATTACGTACTAAATACCGGTTGTTTTGGATGCATCATCCATAATATCCATTTTTACTTAGAGTGATTCAGTGATTGTACGGTAATTATTACTGCAAAAATTACTGTAAATCAGATTTTTTGTTCCGTAACATGTTACTCACTTTACGGCAATTTTTATTTTTTTAGCATTCATAATATTCATATATTACTAAAACATATATTGTATTGAAGAATAAACCTACATTTACATTCGAGAATAATTATCGTGCCTTAACAATGATTTTGCACATTTGTATAAGAAAAAAATTTTGCTCTGCATTTTAAAACTATACCAAATTATGCTATTAATTACAAATTAATATTGTTTTTTTTTGTAATCAAATTATTATTAAATTCTCCAAGAAAGCTAAAACAATTTCTCAACTTAATAAAATGAGCAGAATTATCAATTCATAATAATTACGTATTCGAAAATGCAGTATTCGGAGTCACAATAATGCTTAATTCGCTAAAAAATATCAGCAAAAAAAAAAAAAATTCTCAACTTAATTGTATGACTTTGCAAGATTAGGGGTCTATAATTTTATCATGATAAAAATAACGAATATTTTCACATTTTTGATAATAATAATAATAAATCTAAATACATCATATATTTGTTTTCGTATCATACATTTATATTAAAATAAACACTTTATTATTAGCACTAGAATTTAGGCAGTACTTGAGACATAACCTTTTTCTTAAAATCAAAATATAAGTCATTTAGCTAATAATTTATTTCATATGGTTAATATTTGTTAAATAAATCTTTAAACACTATTTTTTAATTGTATTTTGCTATAATTAGTTTATTTAACAAATATAATATGTTTAGGTTTTGATGCTTTGTGACTCTGTTAACGTGTTTAGAAAATATCGATTTAAAGCATAATAATTATTAGTGGAGTATTTAAATTAGAAATAAATCCCCAAAATAGCGGGAAAAACTTTATTAAGTTTTATTCAGCTATCTATTTCAAATAATTTAAATAATATGCTTAACTGATTTTTATAATTACGTAAATTGTTTGAACTCGTATAGGAATTTTATTAATTATTTGATAATAATAAGTCAACAAGTGCATAACATATAACTTTAACATAATTAAATACTTTAGTTTACTTCGCATTATTAAATACTTTTGTTTATTCTACGTTATTAAATTTTATTAAATGATTCAACATCATTCCATCAAGTGTGAATTATGTTTCAGATCTTTTTAAGTTCTGTAAATTACTCAAACTCGGATAGATATTTTGGTAATTATTCGAATAAATACAATTTGAAGTTTCGAGTTTAATTTTTGAAAATGAAATTAAATTGATATTTGAATTTAATTTTCCGTTTTTCCCTACTTTTGGAACGGAGTTCAAATATCCTAGTTTTAATCACTGTTTTAAGATTTAAATAAAGAATGGTTTGTTAAGAATAATTATTAGAGGCGGGACTCTATGTTTAATCAATCTCTTTCCGCCTTTCAAGTGCGCGACGCCAGAAAGACGGAACGTATAGACCGCCCTAAAAAGCCGGTCGAGGCCCAATGGAAAACCGGTATCTTCTTCCTACAACTCCAGATTTGATAACTATTGGATTATTTCATGAGCCTAAATGAATTCTTATTGGATGTATTTTATTTTGCGTTATATGACTAATACTTTTTTTTTATTAATCACTTAAGTTTGATAAAATTAGTTTAAATCCTAAACAAAAAGCAATAAGCGATACAATAGTAGCAATGAATTCAAAATGTATACTAACACAATCCACAATTTATCATGTTTTCGAGCTAAATTTATTATTAAATTCGAAATTAACGTTGAAATAAAATTTATAAATGTATGTAGAAGTGTAGCAAACGGTAAGCATGCATAAATCTAGCATACTTTGCACATATATATTCGTTATGTATGTAAACATTACATAAATCTTATATAATGTATGGATAAAGTTTAATTTTGTAAAATCCTATATTATTGTGACCAGAGGTTCAAAATATAATACAATTCTTCTAGTTATAAATGCGTAAAATTGATTATTAGGTATAAAGTTAATGGTATAACATAATGAGAGCATTGTATGGAGAAAATAAAACACTGCCATATTTTTGAATTATACTTATTGTTATAGTAATTCATAATTAAGGGTTGAATGAAATGTATAAATAAATCCATATAAAAGTTTAGGAAGTGGTAAACATTATATAAATCACTTACATCGAGAATATATTACACCACACATGCATGCATCGTGTAAGTAAACTTTATATTAATCTTTTATAATACATAGGTGAAGTGTAATTTTATATATCCTATATAATGAGAGATCTAAAATATAATACAACTCTTAATTTTGTAGTTAAAATTGCGCAAAATTGATTACTATATCTAAAGTTAACAGCGCAACATTATGACAGAAATGCATGAAAAATTATAACTTTATCTATAATATTTTTTATGTTTAAGAATGATATTTATTAATATATTCCAAATTAATGGTTGAATAAAATATAGAAATGCTTAAAAAATTTAAAAAAGAGGAAAACATAATAAAAATATTGTAAATAATATTTGTATCGTATCGCATTATATGCATTGTGTAAATAAGCATCATATATGTATTATATGATGAATACGTAAAATATAATTTTTAAATTTTATAATTTACTAAAAGCCAAAAATATAATAAAACTCATAATTTTCATGCTAAAGTTACGAAAAATCGGTTGCTAGGCTCAAAATTAATAGTAGAAAAGAAAAAATGTAAATATGAACTATAAGACTATTGAATAAAAAAACTTCATTGGCAGTATATCTTAATTGTAATTATTAAAATGGGCATTGTGTGGTTGTGGCTAACATGAAATACATTGAAAGATCAAGCATAAGAATGTACAAGAACTTAAAAGTTTAATGTATGTAATTACATACCTCAAATATCCTTTGTCTTAAGCACAAAACACAAGCAGAGCTAAAACAAATAAATTAAACAAATAAATAATTTATAACATAATTATAATTTAAAGATAAATACTAATTGAGTCACATAATTGCAATTTTTTTTCAAAATTTAATATTGAAAATTAATAATTGCAATAAATATGTTTAATTTTTCATTGTTTAAAAATTATTTAGATTAGTATATGATCTCGGACACAGAAAATGCAACATTTTTGTTTCTTAATGTTTATTTCTAATTTTTATACCTTTTTTTTTATTATTTCCAATTATTTTTATTTATTATTATTTTTTTCTTGAAATACTGCTTCCTTTTTTCCTTGATAAAATATGGCCCCCTTGATACTTAAATTCTCCCTAAATATAAAAATACAAAAATGATAAACTTTTTAGCAAGTAAAAGTTTTAATAATTATTTTTTTAAAAATTGAAACTTTGAGCAATTTTTCGTCAATTAAAATTTGACAACAGTTTGCGATTTCTGAAGAAATGTTGAAAATGCACATAGAATCGCATTCACAGATGGTTTCAAATCGGTTCAACATACCACTGATTAATATTGCTTTTCTTTAATTCCAACTAATTACAGTTCTTTATTTCATAAAATAAAAAAGCGTAGAACTATCTATAATTCTATTCCCATAAACAATGCTGTGAATTCGAACTGAAATGTCATTTAGCCAAATTTAAAAATAAACATCGCGATAGGGCGACTATTTTTGCGTCCTCCATAGCACATTAGAAAGAGATTATAAAAAAGTGCAGCATTTTGTTCTTTTTTTAAAAATTCCTTTAATATTGTCCGCTCAAGAAATAAAAACAGAATACTTATAATATTTATTATGTGTTTATTTCCTTTCAATTTCCATTTATCCAACAAAAGTATTAAATGTTCTAATAAGTATCTTTTATTTTTTCTTTTAATGATTTATAGCACTATACGCATGAATATTGTGTAATTATTATTTTTACAGTTTTATTGATTAATAATGATTAAAACAGCAAATTAAAAAATTATGAACAAAATAGGGATTTGGAATATTGGTCGTTCTTTTTACTTAATATACTATGTTGAAAATAAAAAATAAAAATAGAAAATAGAAAAATTGAATTAAAAAATTAAATAAGAATTTAAAAAGAGCTCGATTTTTTTTTTCTAGGCAAACAAAATAGTAAATTAAAAAAAATCCTATAATAGGACTTTAAAATGTTATTATCAGTTTTCATATTTAAAAACTAGAATATTAAGTTTAAAAAAATCAGTTTGAATGAGATAATTAAAATCAAATAGCGTAATCATCTACAAATAGTATCTACAAAATATTTCATAAAAAGTCATATACGTTTGATTTTAATTTTCATTAAGAACAGAATATTAAAATTTCATGTAATTAGCAGTAACTCAAATTTCGGAGCATGCTTTACAATTACTAAATTATTCATTTTCTGTTTAATAAAGGTTTTTCAAGGAATCGAAACTTTTTTTTTCATTTGAGCATGCCTTATTCTCATTATTTACATTCACAACAAAAACGCTATCAAGTGATTTTATTGTATTTCTATTTTTTCTTTCAAAGTCACAAAAAAATAAAAAATAATAATAACTCAGTGGGTGGTTAGAGTCTGTCGTTCGAAAACCACTTAAGAAAGGAAAAAGCTTCTAAGAACGACTACAAGTGTCCCCAAGAACACCACACGAAGTATGTAAAATTTTATTGCTTGTTTATTGCATTATCAATTGGTTTTATGATAGCTTACACGCACTCGCTTTTTGCTTCTTCTACTAAGCCGAATCCATAGTCGTATAAACCGATTCACTATCAAAATGGCCGACTGGATAGAACGCAGAAGTGATAGATTTATTATTACCCATTTTCAATCGGGACCCATACCCCCCTCATCTCTGTTTAGTGGATGGTGGCTCTTGAAAAAACTCGTGCCCGTTGGTAAGTTCTTTAGTCCGCGACAGGAGCCACGGGTCAGAGAGATAGGAGTGTGATATGAAAAACGTTCTATTATTTTGAAGCTTTTGACGCTGCAAAAGTGCTTTCTTATCAGCTGAATTTGCGGGTAAGTGCCATTCTGCCACTTTGGTTTTAAACAGATCTTATGAATTGCTCTTTTAAGATATTTTTTTTTTTGAAGTGAGGATCTGGTTTTTGTCTTATGATATATTTCTAAGTTGATTAATTGATTATAACAGTTCTGTGTAATTCTGTTTGTAATGTTTACAAAAATTGAGTGCTTTACGCGTGGAAAAATTATCATCTGATATTAAAAATTTTACGATGCGCAGTATTTTATGATCATTGCCTTTTGTTTTCGATAGTTGTAGTAAGCTATCGTGTTACTGCCATTACAAAAATAAATTTAAATTTACAAATTATTCTGGAATGTTGATGATAACAATAATATCAACAATTTGCATAATTAAAATCAATACTACTACTAATGATAATTACAATAATTGTTAAATAAAGGAAAAATCACCAAAAAACATTATAACCTTTTGAAATTCTTGTTCTTACTAATTATAATCATTAATTTTGAACATGTGATTTCTTTCCGAGAATTTTAAGTTTAATTTCATAATCAGCAATGGCGCAGTTATGTTTGCAATCAAACATATAATATTAAACTTATGATATTAAAAAAAATAGAACTAAAAAAAAATAACTGGAGTGCACGCTAAGTCTAATTTTCATTGATTGTTTTAGTTTCTCTCTAACCAAAAAATTATAAATTTTAAATTTCAATGAATACAATTTTTTTCTAATTCAAGCCCATTATTAGTACATACATATTCGCATCGATGGTTTGCTTCTATGGATATAATGCTCACAGGCTAACCATGGGAGGTTTTCGTAGTTTTCCTCTCCATGTAACGCAAATGTTGGTTAGTTCCATCAAAAGGGCCTCCACGAAGTTTAATGTATCCCAGTATTTGATTCAGGAGTTCCCTTGTCCTCTGTATTGGGTTCAAAATCGCAAGGCTACGTAGTTGAGCATTGGAAGTCGTAAACTCAGCTTGAGTCAGCTATTCAACTACGGTTATAATCATAGTTAATAAACTAAAATTATGAATAATTATTATACTACAATTAATAATTGCATTGCAATTAATAAGTAAACTACAGTACCAATTATATAAATTTGTTTTTCATAAATAACTTAATGATGTTAGACAAAAATAAGAATTCATTTATGCTTAAAAATTTTATTTGAGCATTTTTCTCTTATAAAACCATTTCAGTATTTGGTTTTCGCAACTATTGTTGCTTAAATTTAGACTGTCATTCGAGGTGGTATTAATTCAATGTATTTTCTAATTTATACAAACTTCCTCTTATAATTTTACACAAAATTTGAGAAAAGAAAAATCTCTTGTATTTATTTACGTTTATATTCCAGATCAGAACTATGCTTAATTATGCTTAAGAAACCAGGACTTATTCGATACGTTATCGGCATAACTTTTGAATTTTGATTAAATCTCTATTCGTGCAAAAAATTGCCCTAAAATTATGGCGCAAATATTCAGATTCAGTTATAAAATTACAGTTATGCACTAAAATGGAGTCATTTAAAAGTGATTTGTGACTTCTAAAAGTACTATTTCCTTGCAAATTTATTTGAAACTTGACATTATAAAGGGGAAAATTCCAATAAGTATGATAGTGTTAATCAGTCATATAAGCAATACTATAAAAAAAAAATTGATATCAAACTTTTGATTGAAAAATTGATATCAAAATTTTTCTATGTAAAAATGTATTGCAAATTTCTCTTATACTTAATTATCATCCATTATCTCACTTTATTTTGTAGTTTGAACTGCGAAACCAATTTCTAAAACAACAAGGTTAATTATCAAAACAGTCTAATTAATTATGAATTGAAAAGCATTACACTATATTCCACTTTGAAATAGCCTTATCTACTTAAAACGACAAAATCAATTTATGAAGCAACAAATTTAATTATCAAAACAGTAGAAACAATAACTAATGGAAAAGCATAATTGATAAGTCTTAACTGCCTAAAATGCAATCAAAGAATGAAGTCAATTATTCTAACAATTTGAAATTCAATATGATCTGTGTTCTTTTTTAATATTTAAACATAATCTATTCACGCATAATTAAGAAGAAAAAAAAGAAAAAGCACTTTTTGGGATTGTTTTCAAAACGCCTTAATTACTCAGGTACTTCATAAGTAAAAAGTATTCAGAATATATAAGTTCCATATTTTAAAATACTATTAAAACACCTCTATTTAAAACAACAAAACGAACTTGTGAAACAACAAGCATAATTAAATGAATAAATCCAAATAAACTGAAAAGATAAGATACTACTTGATTACTTATCGGTCAAAAGCAGGAGTCCATTTTCAAAACATGTCAAACGTGAATGAGAATAAAAAAAATTTGTTTGAAATATAAGACCTAACATTGCCAAAGAAAAAATGGCAAAATAAGAATGAGGAAAAAAGAGGAAAAACTGAACAAGAAAAACCACGGTGACCGAGAGGGGCAAATCAGAGTAAAATGCATACCCACGCGCTATGGAGAGATAGTGAGGAAATGTCATATCAACTCATCTTGATGCCTTAGAATCTTGATTTACTTATCTAAATACTGTTTCCCTCCTTAACGACATTAGTTCATACATTTTACCCTGAATTACCCCTCACGGTTACTGTGGCTCCGTTTTTCATCTTTTTTTTTCTCTCTCGGCTGCTGTGGTTTTCTATTTTGGTTTCTCCCCTTATTTTACCATTTTTTGTGGACAACTTTACGTTTTATATTTCCAATTACTTTTGTTTCTTCTCATTCACGTCTGGCCAGTCTTGAAAATGGGCTCCTATTTTTAAGCGCTTGAAGCGTGTCGACTGTTTTGTTTCCCCCATTTATATATTTTTGAAGCGAATGGACTTTTCAATCAAGTAACAGGCATAGTTATTAACAGAATTCGATGCATAATGTGATTTATGTTCTGCTTCAATCTTTTA